TCTAGTTGATCAGGTCTTTATTATAAGAATATTTATTAACATTATAATAAATTATTCAGTATATATAATAAATAATTTATTATAATAAAACATTACCTGATCAGATTAAGTTGTTAATTTACTTAATCTCAAAATTTTTCTTCAGAATTAATTTTATTTTTATTTATATTTTTACCTAAATAATTAAAATAATTTGTATAATTATGTAGTTTTTTGATTTTTCTATTTAATTTTAAATTTTTTAAATAATTTTTTATTTTATTTATTTTTTTTTAAATAATCTTTTATTTTATTTATTTATTTTTTTAAATAAACATTTTTATTTTAATAATTAATTTTTTAAAATTTTTTTTTTTTTTAATATATTACTTTATTTTAATTTTAGGTAGAAAATTTTTTTTAATCCTTTTTATTAATTAAATTTTTTTTTATTTGACCAAAAAAAAAGTTATTTTTTTATTTTTTTTTATTTTTTTAAAATCATTTTATTTGGATTTTAAGAACTAATTGGTAAGTTAATTTTCTTCTTGAAATAGATGAGCTTTTTTGAGAATATTTTACTAATATTTTTTTTTTTCTTTTTTTAAAAATTAACCTTCTTTGGATCTTAAAAATCAATTGATAAATTAATTCTTTTTTCTTAAAATGGATAAGCTTCTTTAAGAACATTTACTAACATTCTTTTTATAAGATTAGTTCTCTTTAAAGTTTTTAAAATCTTTATTGTATTAAAAAAATTTGTTATAAATAAATTTGTTAAAAAAGGATTATTTAATGTTATAAAAATTTTTTTATACATCATTATATAGATTTTAACTAGTAAAATTCAATATAATAATGTTTTTTAATATAAAAAAAATCTGTATTATATTAAAAATTTATTGTATTATAAAATTCATTATATTAAATTTATTGTATTAAAAAATAATTGTATTAATTTTTTTTATTTAATATTATTACTAAAATAAATTAACAAAAATCATATTATAAAAAAAATAATAAAATTATAATCAATTTCATTTTATTAAATTATTATAATAAAAAAAAAGTTATTTAATATTTATAAATAATAATATTATTAATGATATAGTATAAAATGCTAAAATTTAGAAAGGATGAAGTCGAGAAAGAATAATAAATAACTAGTATATACATGAGAACCAAGGATGTTTTCTTTAGCAGATTCTAAATTATTTTGCGTGTTATCATCAATTAGAAAAACGTTTGCCAATAATTTAAAGTTACAAAATCAAATTATAAAATTGCTTTTGGAAAGCAAATACTTTTATAGTGAAAATTTTTATTTTACAACTTCAACGATACTATTTTGTAAGAAGTATAATAATTTGAAATTTTTTTTTTAACAAGCAAATCCAAATACGTTTCCACCGACTCGTTTTACTTTCTTTCCTTTAGAACCCACTAAACAACGAAAGCAACGAACGCTGGGGGAGTGATTTTTGCATGGTTTGGGGGCTTCCGAATCATCCTCATCCTCATCATCTTGTTTTTTTTGTGACGTTGGATTATCTGCAGTGGAACTTTTAGAGTCACCAGAAGTAGAATTGGTGGTGGAGTTCCCACCCTCTTCTTGGGATTGCTTTTTTCGTTTGGCAGCTTCTTCAGCTTGACGAACGCGCATTTTAATGCGTTCTTGAATATCGATATCTTTAGTGGAAGGTTTAGAGTTGGAATCTGATGTTTTATTGGTTTGATTAGAAGTTGAGTTGGAGCTATCAGGATTAGAATCAGAAGATAATGAGGAACGGAGTGCAGTGAGTAAACGTGGACTCTGGCGAATAGTATTTTCTAATTCTCGCTCAAATGGTGTTTGCTTTTGTTGAGAGTTTTTAACTCCATTTTCATTGCCAAAAATAGAAGGTAAGGAGGATTCAGTATTTTCGTTACTAATATTGTCAACGCTGCTTGCTTTGTTTGTGCTGGTTGTGTTATTCCCTCTCTTCGTGACGCCACTGCCTGCTTTGTTTGTGCTGATTGTGATATTCCCTCTCTTCGTGACGCCACTGCTTGCTTGCTTTGTGCTGAACTTGTTATTCGCCTTCTTCGTGACGTCACTGCTTGCTTTGTTTGTGCTGGTTTTGTTATCTCTCTTTGTGGCGCTATTTGCATGCGATCCGGTATGATTTTGCGGCCCAGCACTCTCGGTAAAATTTTGACTCACTTGTATCTTTTGTGTAGGACTTTGATTGATGCCATATGAGTATGGAGGAATATTGGAAAAAGAATGTATATTGCTTTGCACATTGCCAGCATTATTGCTCTCAACACCTTGATTTCCAGTATTTCCTCCGTTGCTATTATTCGAACCACTTCCATTAGCATCATTTAAATAGTGACCATAACCATCTCCTAAAGTACCTTCATTTTGTGCATTAAATCCGTTTTCATTTCGTGCATCATGATTTTCTTTGTCAATGAAACCGCCTCTATTTCGTTCATAAAGACTGTTATTATCGTATTCATTATAAAAACGACTTCCACTGCCACCTTGGTTTCGTTCATAAAGGCTGTTATTTTCGTATCCATTGGAATCTCCTCCAAAATAACCTCCACTGCCTCTTTCACCACCTTGATTCCGTCCATAAGGAATGTTATTATCGTACCCATTGGAATCTCCTCCAAAATTACCTCCACTGCCACTTTCACCACCTTGATTCCGTCCATAAGGAATGTTATTATCGTACCCATTGGAATCTCCTCCAAAATAACCTCCGCTGCCACTTTCACCACCTTGATTCCGTCCATAAGGAATGTTATTATCGTACCCATTGGAATCTCCTCCAAAATGACCTCCGCTGCCTCTTTCACCACCTTGATTCCGTTCATAAGGACTGTTATTATCATATCCATTGGAATCTCCTCCAAAATGACCTCCGCTGCTCCTTTCACCACCTTGGTTTTGTTCATAAGGACTGTCATTATCGTATCCATTATAACCTCCTTCATCGCCACCTTTATCAGGACTATTGTTTGAATTACCTCCACTTCCACCATCTCCATCACCACCATCACCACCACCTCCACCACCACCTCCTCCACCGCCACCTCCACCACCACCTCCTCCACCGCCACCTCCACCGCCTCCTCCAGAACCGAGGAATGGTATCCCGATACCAAAGCCAAAACCTAAACCAAGCTGTAAACGGGTTCCAATATCTACATTAAAAAACGAAGCTTGTCCACTAACACCAAAATCAACGCCAAATGATGGATCGCTCACGCGCATGTTAAAAGCTCTAACACCAGTTCCAGTTTCGCTAAAAGTAAATTTGCTAGACTGCTTTCCTGTTTTATCGAAATTCAAAAATTCATTCTTCATCAAAGTCGTATCTATGCATCCTTTCGATTTTTGGTCCCCCGAGCTCGTCAAATTCAAAAACCTATTGTGCATCCCAGTTACTCTTGAGCATAGAGTCGCCTCGCTGTCCCCCGATTCTTTAATGTTCCCAATTTCGTTATCTAATCCAGTTGTTTCTGAGCATAAAGTCGCCTTGCTGTTTTTTGATTTTTTAATGTTCCCGATTTCATTGCGATTCAAAGTGAAGGTTGAGCATAATTTCGATTTGCTGTCCCCCGATTCTGTAACGTTTTGAAATTCGGTATTTATCCCAGATATGTTTGAACATAAAGTCGAATCGTTGTCTCCCGTTTTTGTAACATTCCATAATTCGTTGCGCATCCCAGTTATTTCTGAGCATAGAGTCGACTTGTTGTTTCCCGTTACTGTAATGTTCCGTTCTTTATTATGTATCGCAGTTATGTTTGAGCATAATTTCGAGGTGTTGTCCTTCGTTTCTGTATAGTTTCCGATTTCATTATGTATCCCAGTCATCTTTGAGTATAAAAACGACTTGTTGTCATTCGTTATTGTAGTGTTACCGATTTCATTGTGAACACCGGTAAATTCTGCGCAGAAAACCTTATTGGTGTCTTTTGCAACGTTTATGTTATTTATTTCATTGTGTTTTCCAATCACATTTAAACAAGCGACCTTGTTGATATCATCTTTAATGTTTGATTTTCCTATTTCATCTTCCTTGTCCGTCATTTTAACCTCAAAGTTCCCATCTTCATCTTTGCCCTGTTCTACTGCTGTTGATACGTCAGATACGTCATTAAAGTCAACAATGTCAAGAAATTCTTTGGTCTATATGTGAGAATTAATGGCTATAATGAGAAAATAATTAAATATTTGTTTGATGTGGCACATACTGTACATACCTCTTGAATGATTCCAAAGGTATCACAAGCATCGTCAGAAGTTAAAAAATCATCACCGTCGGAAGTAGAATTATTTGAATCATCATCATTAGGAGGTGAATCAACGATACCAACCGAAATATTTTCAAGTGAAGATTTTAGTTCTTCTACAAGCTTTTTGGCCTCTACTTCTTCTTTTGCATGGATGGCCTCATCTCCGCGATAGATGATGCCGTTGCGTATGTAGATATTTTTATCTTTGTATTTCATATTATTTATTATTACTCGAGAGAAAAAAAAAAAAAGGAATAACTGAGGGGATTTTGGCAAATATGACGAATTCTTTTTTAAAAGTGAATCCTTTTCAAATGAATTACTCATTTAGAAAAAAAAAAGTTCCCAAGCTATGTTTTGTGTGGTAAATCACAAGGACATTCTTTTGTTTTGTTTTTCTCATACTAATCAAAACTGTTTTCAAATGACCGCTTTGATTCCATCCATGGATATTGTTGAATGAATTTAACCAAAATAAAATTTTACCAATTTCGATTTGTCAATTGATCGACATGGGCGCGTTTACAAAAAAAAAGTCTTGAGAAAATAAAAAAAGTGAAGAGGAAAGGTTTATTGGAAAAGGGGGACATATAAAATATGTAATCAAAAAGTTGGTGTAACAATGTTGTTTATTTATTAAATAAATATGATTTTTATTAAATAATTAAATATTTATGTAGATATGTATGGCATAAATAAGCAAGAGGTCAAACCGGTTATAAATAGCACAAACTGAGATGTCAATCCCACTTTACATAACATAAATTTGGGAATTTTTTTATTTTATAATTTACTGAAAAGGAGGAAATTATCATGAGATTATTTAATTCTTTAAAATCTGTTTTAGTTTCAGTAATGTGTGTAAACTTTACATAACATTAAGATTAGATGAAATCTTTATCAACAATGATATGCAATGTAGATGATGCACGCTTTTAATGGAAAATGTCGAAAAGGTTTCATGTGATGCGATAACTGGGCGTGTTTTTATGTACGCATTTTTTTTTTCTTCTTATAAATAACTTTTCTATTTACAGTATATACATGTTATAATATATTTATATTAAAATTCACTTTTAACTTTAATATCCTTTTTTATTTTTGCATTTTAAGATTATGTAATTCAAGTTCAAGGTGACTCTCATGGAATAAACACAAAGTGAATGTTTTTCATACGAACATTTCGTTATTAACCTGATCGTGTTTTAAATATTTCCATCAAACTGAAACTTTCTTATTAAATTTTATATTTTGTGTATATTTTGTGCTGCACCAGAACCCCTTTTTAGAAAGTTCTCGCGAGACTTTTGACATTGCAGAAACTCCTGCATAAGGCACAGACATAATTCATTGCATTGATATTAATTTGCCAAATATTGCGCGTTACACGTAATTGATGTTGCAATCAATTTCGAGTACCAATAATTTAACAAGTCATGCGCTTCTTTACTGGTATTCCAATCCAAAACCATCTTTTTGACCCTCCTAAATTCTCCATTGGTACATTTTATCAGAGGTTCTATCATTTCCACGGTCAACCCTTTACAATTCTTACATTTAAACACCTCCAACATATACAGAGTGCATATCCCATACCATGGATCACTTCCACCAAAATCCACGGATTTAAATGAAAGGTTCGTAAGGGAATCTTTTACGGATGACAATGACGTATTGATTATAACGGAGAATCCAAAACCCTCATTGATTTTAAGCTTTTGAAGTGATTTTTGATGTTGGATGAGCGAAGACATTTGAGCGGATTCCTTAAAGTAATACGGTGAAGGATCCGCGGATGACTTTGAACCGAAATATGAATTTGACTGTCCCGGTAAGCTTATGGTCAACGTTTCCTAGAGTAATATAAAGATAAAAAAAATTTTTTGTAAGAAATAAATACTTCTTCCGTAGATGAGTCTCTCGTTACTTACAATTTTTCTGCAAATCTTTACCGGAGCCGATAACCATCTATCCAACCTAACGTGAGTGTTGATGAGCAAGTTTCTAACATTTAAAAATAAATTTTCAATCCCCTCTTCAACCAATATTAAATGAATCAAATCGGTAGGAAATCTCAAAGGCCAGGCTTGAAAACTGGTTATTTTAGATTCTTTAACCAATAATTTCAACGTTGCTCTTAGAACCAAGGTTAAACTTTCCGCAGGTAATCGTGGTAATGTTTCTAACCACTCGCTAATTGAATTGACTAATTTACCGTAATCCAAAATCTCAATGAACGAAGCGTATTGAAAGATAGGTACTTCCTGAAGGGAGAAGGGTATTTCTATGCCATTGGCAATCAAATAAAGACGGGAATTCTCATCGCAACATTTGAGTAGCGTGTTAATCTTGGCTTGTCGTTCGTATATACTTCCGTAATCATTTAATGCCCATTTCCAAAGGATTGGGGCAGATACTTTACACCAATATCTATTTACTAATAAGCACGAATGAAGGCGGGCTCGATCTTCCGTATAAAAACGATCTTCATTTGGAGCATAAATATACTTAAATATTTTCTCAAGTATCTCGGGAACCAAACAATCCATCTTTAAAAAAAAATAAAATAAAATAAAAAAAAAAAATTTAAAAATGAAGAAGATCTCCCATTGTTTTTATATTACAAAAATTTTTTTTTCATGAACCATTATGTGCTAATTTAATGAACTATAAACCCATAAATGGATAAATTCTTCAAATGGTTTCAGTTGGCGAATCATATGCAATAGGTGCAGATAATTTTCGAATTTCAGATGCAGATGATGCATGTATAATATAATGGTCACGTCAATCCTTTGTACAAAATATAAATATAATATTTAAAGCGCTTTTTCACAATAGAATAATAAAAAAAAATTTTTTTTTCCCCTTTTTTGAAAAAATTTAGGTTATTTTGAAAAAAATTTTTTTTTTTTTAAAAAAAAAAGAAAAATAACGCTATATAATGTCATCATCCGTATCCGTATCCATAGTAAAATCCACCAAATCAACCGGAATAAAACAACCCATCATCAGACTTGTTCCCATACTTCCTCAGTCAAAATTTTTAATTTTACCTTTGATAATTTACTCACAAATCTTCAAATATCTAACACCGCAAGATTTATATTCTTTATCTTCCTTATGCAAAAAACTTCGTAATTTATTATGGTCAGATAAGAAACAAATACAAGAGATATGGAAATCATCTAGAATGTATAACTTAACTTATCCATCCCTTCCGCCTCCATCAAATATGATTGAACAACAATATATTTGGTTGGCTTTATTGGCCATGAAATGTCAATTTTGTAATAATAGTTATAATAGATTTGGTTATAACGTTTGGATTAAAAAGGAAGTACTGTGTAGCAAATGTTTTTCAGAGAAAACTTTATTAATAAGGTACGAAATTACTTGTTATGTCTCTCGTGTTTTAAACAAATTATTTAATAATAACTTTGAATGTTTTGAATGTTTTAGAGACAAAGCGTTTCCAAATTATTTACCGCAAGGATTACTTTATTGCATACCCTACACGAACTTCATGACATGGTCAAGTGAAAAATTGCGTGCGTATTGGATTTCTGATATTAAATTGGCTAAAAAAGAATATTTAGCATTAAAAACTAATAAGCAGAGAAAGGATTGGATGAGTAAAAAACAAAAGGAAACCAAAGAAATCATGAGGAAGGCAAATGCCTATGATCGACAAGATTATGTCGCATACTTTAATAATTTATATTAAAAAGTAGTTTTTTGCTTAATATTTCGTATTTTTTTTTTTATATATATATTTGTTTTCAAAATCAATTTCACAATAAACCATTAATTTTTTTGCATTAAAGAAATAACAAAATTAAAAAAAATAAAATAAAATAAATAAATAAATTCTATTATTACATGACATGATAAAATTTGATTTCATATGTAAAATTGAACATCAGCAAAAAATTTTATCTATTCTTGTCAATAGGTTGACGGCATATGACGCGTCCTCCTTCTATTTTTATATTTTCTCAACGATCCATCTTGTGACAACCAAATAAATTTAACGTTTTTCCGATAAGTGGTACAGATTTTAAGATTTTTGATCTTCGGTTACTTGAAAAATTAAAATTTTTAATTTTTCCGAACTAAACGTAACATGTAATACACAAATTTTTAATTTCGAACAATCTTGAAGGTTTTATTGACGTGTAAGAACATAAAAACGCTAATTTCGTATGATATCGATATTTTACGACCTCATGCGGTGAATGATATATAATGAGACTTCTATTGATTCTTCCCTGCCAATGTCGTTATCGCTTAAAGGTTCATCCGCCGTTTCAACACCAACACAAAATCGCAAAATTGCGGTTGACCTCGATGGCACAGTACGTTTCGGTCGCCACAATTGAAAATATAAATTTTATAAATATATCGGATCTCAAGTCAGACCGAAATTAATGAAGTTTGTCAAAAGCACAGCTTCCAAAAGAATTCCTTTACCCGGTTAATATTATTAATCACTAACATCGTCAATTCACATTTCTCGTAAATGTTATATTTTTAATGTTTTATATAAACGAAAGGTATGATTATAATTAATGACGTAGTAATTTAAAGAAATATACATACAAAGGTTGCTTAAAAAAAAAAATTATGTAATTTATAGTTGTTTACATAATTTAATCCTTTTTAACTAGATTTTGTTGATAATAAAGTTGGAATGTCTTAAACTTTGTGAGATTTCAATGTTGAGAAGAATCAATAAATTTTGATTTTAGCAACTTGTTATCATGTCTAGGACCATCATCATCTTTTTTTCTTGTTACTTTGCGCAACTGGATCATTGACGCGTCGATAACTTTATATTAATAAATTTTCTTTATTAAATATAATTTCTCTCATCTTTTTTTTTTTTTTTTTAAAAAAAACAAAGTATACAAATAAACCGTTGCATTAATCATGGATGAATTTGCATTTTGAAAGGGTATAGAATAGTAAGATTATTCACAACATTGTATAAATCAATATACGGTTCATGTTCGTAATTGTAATGCTATTTTTACATGTTATAGAGTTTAGTGTGGGGCGTATTTCTTACACAAACAGTACTTTACTAAATCACTCCAGAATAAAGCTTATGAAAATTTCAATCATTCCAATTAAACGATTTTCTTATCGTTCATTTAAAACGATGTTATTGTTCCAATTGAACGATTATCTTATTGTTCGTTTAGAATGATAAGATCAATCGTTCCAAATGAACGATTTTCTTATAATTCATTTGGAATGATAATTTAATCATTCTAATTGAACAATTTTTATCTATCATTTAGAACGATATTATTATCGTTCTAAATGGTTTTCTTATCGTTATTTGTAATGATGTTATTATCGTTCTAATTTCTTGTTCATTTGGAATGATGATATCAATCATTCCAATTGAACGATAATTTAATCATTTCAAATGAACGATTTTCTTATTATTCATTTGGAATGATTTCAATTGAACGATTTTCTTATCAATGATATTATTATTCTATATGAACGATTCTTTTATTATTCATTTGAAACAATATTATTATCATTCCAATTAAATGATTTTCTTATTGTTTGTTTAAAACAAACTATCTGAATTTGGATTAGTCCAAAATTTTAGGTTCAGTTCAGATTTTTTCAATTTGAATTAAATTTATAATATGAAAAAATCTGAATTGAACTGAAAATTTTTGGGTTAATTTTTTGCAATTTGAAACTGAATTGAAGTTGATATGAACTGAAAATATTAGATTAATTTAAACCATTCAGAGTTTACAATCACATATTTATATAATTATTATTTTTAGAAAACTAAGTATGTGACTATATAGAGGTCTAACTGTATTTATAAAATATTAAATTAATTTGTAATAGAATTTTAAATAATAGTAATAAACGTATAATATAGCTTTAATCTAAACTTTTTTTTCTTTTCAATTTAGAAAATATTTTAGATAATAAAATAAAAATTTGTTATAATTCTTTAATTATTTATTATTATATTTTATTATTTATTGATCAATATGAATGAAATATTATTAAATTCAGGTTATATATAGTATAAAATATTATAAATAATAAAAATTAATAATCTTTAGTAGTGAAATCAAATTATGATAATGTTATTAATCTACATAGTATAGCATAAATGTTTATATA